AGCTGGAGCCTGGAGTAGAGGATGGGCCTCGAGCTCCTTCCCCCCCCCCCCCCCCCCCCCGGACCTTAATCACAGAGACTGTGAGACAACAGAGACTGCGAGGGAGGGTTGCTTCTTTCCACCTCTCTTGCTGGTTTATGATGAAAATGGCTCAGTAGGCTGTGACCCTTGCCTCTGGAGAGAGAAGGGCTACGTGGAGAGTCACAGTGAGCCTCTGAGGCTAGCGTAATCCGCCTGGAAGCACGGGACCCACCGAGACAAGGTCAGAGCTACAGCTCCTGCAAACAAAAGAAAATTCAGTAGATGGCAATCAGCCCAACGATCCTGCCCGATGCAAATCTCTGGGTTTCAGAGACCAATGGAACTTCCAAGAAAGAGCATAGGTTTCAGAGAGAGATCCATTAGCCCACCTGATGCAAGTTCACTGCAGACTTTCTTTTAGTATGTCAGCTGCAACTATTTGCCTGCCTCCTCCCCCATTTGGAGACTAACTTTTCCATTTCTGGCAAGCATGGGAGTGAATCACCTTGGACAAATGGGTACTGGAAATAATATCCTCAAGCTACCTTATCCATTTTACCTCCCTCCTCCTTCAACTTCCCCATCTCTCTTCAGGGACCCCTCTCACAGGAGACAAACTCCTTTCTTTATCTTGTGGTGATAGTCCCTGATCAGCACAAGGGAAGGGGCTTCTACTCAATGTACTTGCTCGTGTCAAAGTAAAATGGAGGTTGGAGAGTGATCTTGGATTTAAGACTCCTACACAAATTCATGAAGTCTCAAAAGTTCAAGATGGTGACTCTGAAAGCTATAATTCCTCCTCTGAATTCAGGGGTTTGGTTTTCAGCCCTCATCCTTCAAGTCACATACTTCCACATAGAGAAACATCCATCCCACAGAAAATTCCTGCATTTTTGTCATAGGTCAGGTCCATTTTCAGTACCGGGTACTCCTATTTGGTCTCTCCTCAGCAAAGGGAGTGTTCTCAAAGGTTCAGTTGGTTGTGGCCACCTACCTGTCTCCTCAGGCAATCGTAGTATTCCCATACCTTGATGATTGGTTATTCAAGGGTCAGTTGTACCAAGAGGTGTTAGTTGCCATGCTGAGGGCACTTTCTTCATTCTTGGACTTGGGCCTTCAGTTGAATTTGGGAAAATCTGACTCCTGTACAGAACATACGATTTCTAGGGGCATACCTGGATTCTTTGGTATCCAAGTCCTTCCTTCTCATGAATAGATTCGTGACACTGTCATGTCTTGTCTGAACAATTCAAAGGAGCCCTCAGACTTCAATCAGAAACTGTCTTTAACTTCTAGGTCACATGGTGGCTTGCACTTTTGTGACAGAATATGTGAGATTACTCTTTCATTGTTTCCAGGATGGCTCAGATCAGTTTGCTCACAAAGAGACATAGCCTGGACAAATGGGTATTAGTTCTTCCAACAGGTGAAGCACTCCCTAGATTGGTGGAAGGACCATTGCAGTGTAGGGGAAGGAAGTTCCCTTCCTTCAGCTTATGCTAAGGGTAACTGTAGCCACAGGTGCATCTGTTAGGCTAGGGATAACAACTTGATGCTCTCATGGTACAGGGCAGAGCATCACCCCAATAAACCATCCTCCACATCAACCTGTTGGAGCTCAGAGCAGTCAGAAATGCCTGCCTCCATTTTCTGCCTCTCATCAGACAGATTCATGACAGACAATGTGGCTTGCATATCAGTCGGCATGGAGGAGTGAGATCCCTTTCCCTCTGTACCAAAGCAATAAGGTTATGGAACTAGTGCATTTAAAAAAAAAAATCACATGAGAATTTCAGCAATGTATCTCCTGGGCAGGCAAAATGTGAATGCCAATGTTCCCAGCAGGTTTTATTCCTCAGTATTGCAAATGGGAATTGGACTCCCAGATTCTTGTCAGTATAATTCAAACTTGGGGATTCCCAGAGGTGGAGCTCTTCACTGCTACAAACCGGAAATGTCATCTGTTCTGTTAAGGGGTGGAGGTGTTAGGTGCCTTCCTCCTCCTTAGGACGAAGCAACTCTTTTATGCATTTCCCCTGGCAGCTTTGATGTCAGAATTGTGAACAAAATCTAACAGGATAAGGCCAGAGTTGTCCTAATAGGCCTGACGTGGTCGAGATTGGCATAGTTTCCTTTGCCTGTTTCACCTTGCTCTTTGTCCAACAACAAATCTTCCACTCATTCCGCATCCCAGGACACCAGTTGACTGCTGCATCATAATCTAAAAATTCTCCGCCTCCTCCTTTTGCAGGAATTAGTTGGCCTGTTCTGCAGAGTTACAGCAGATATTTCTAAATTGTAGGAAAGATTCAACAAGAAATGCTTACCTTCAAAAGTGTGGATTTAGTCACTGGTGTGAACTCTGGAAAGTTGTTCCTGAATCCACCTAGCTTCTGCTTGTTCTGGATTATCTGTTGTGATTAAAGAAAATGGAATTGTCAGTTAGTTCTCTTAAGGTTCATTTGGTTACCTTAACAACTTTTCTTTCCACAATTGAGGGTTCTTGCTGTTCACTCACTCTACAACAACTGTAAGATTCATTAAAGGTGTGGGAAACCTCTTCCCTGATACAGCCTTGGTGCAGGGTACAAGGATATCAACACTGCATGCGTGGACTGAAGAGACACTGCTAATGAAAATCTCGGCTCAGAGGCATGTGGGATGCATGCATACCTGAAGTAGAGCCCCCATGGGGGACACATCTGCACACAGTGACTAATCTTTTTTCTCCATTCTTTAAGCCTTCCCACCCACAAGTTTGGTTCTTTTAATCACATTCATTATTGTATTATAAGCTCTGTTAAATTACAAAAGGCTAGCATTCTGTTTTCCCAGCCCCCCAACTTTCTCTAAAGAAGTTTTAGCTATTTTTTTCTTTCATCTACCTTCCCCCATGCTTTCCCTGTGTGGCAATGGGGAAAAAAAAAGTGTGTAGGGTCAGAAATCTCTGCCCTTTTTTGGGAGTGGGGGTGTGGTTTAGACTGTTTTAGTGACCCTACTTCCTCTGGTAGATAGATAATACATGTTCAAAGAACCCTATAAATCTGTCTACATGGGGACTTAGGTCAGCATAACTACACTGCTTGGGGTGTGGATTTTTCACACACCTGAGCAATGCAGTTATGCCAAGCTAATTTTCTAGTGTAGACTAGCCTGAATCTATAATTTCTGACTCAAATTGTCAATCTTAGCTGGCGGAGAATGAAAGACCTGTCAGCACCAAAGGGCAAAGAGTTTTGGAGGAATAAAAAATTAAGTCTTGAGGGTAAATAAGATGATTTTACAAATTATTGTATGTAATAAGCAAATAGCAAGCAATATAATACTGTAATGTTAACATGTCGTTTTTATAGGATTAAAGGAAAAAAGTATGAGCCAGAATCTGGCTCGCTTGTGGTATTCTAGAGATGCAAAGGTGCTGGAAAGCAGCTGGATCTGGCCAGCTGAGAATTCCCTGGGTGTGGGGGAGCTCTCAGCTGGCATAATCAGTGTACCTGGCTTTTGCACTGCGACTCTAATGTAGGAGGATCTGGGTCAGGAAGGAGTATCTGAGGATATGACTGGGTTACAGTGCCTTGGAGTGTTGCCAGCAGGAGTAGGTTAGCGCAGCTTGGGGGCCAGCAGCACAGATCCTCCCTGAGAGCCAGATAGCTGTAACACTCCCTGAGGGACCTGATTTCTCCTGTTGTATCAAGTGGAAACTTAGTGTATCAGAGAATCTGGGCCTGTTTATGTAACTGGAATACATCCTCTTAAGTATTGATGTTCTGGATTGGCAACAATACAATTGTAATACAGGCACCGTAGATTAAAGAATCAAAATATAAATCTGATAAGTAAACTTTAACTCCAGATTTCATATACTTTATATAACTTTAAATATATTTGGATAATATTTTACTTTTAGCTTTGACAACATATATATTCTTGTTTTCTTGCTTCTATTGAGACCACCATAGGACTCTCCATTAACCTTCTCACACCGTGGTCAAACCTGAAGGGTTGAAAGTACAAATTAAGACTTCTAAGTATCTCTAGCAGCTGCTAGTATGGCATGGAGATTAAAAGTAATGTTGCTTTTGACTTAAAGTCCTAGAATAGCAGGGTTGGAAGGGACCTATAACAAACCCTGTTCTTTGTGCTGATGGTTCTTCCCCCTAGATGAACACATTCAAGATTGTCCTGGAAAATAGGTGTCAAGTAGACTTGTTCATACTCTGCCCAAGCTGTGTTCACAAAAATTAGGATTCCCAATAGCTGTTCAGTTTAAACATGCTTGTACTCACTGTCCATTACTCACAATCAAATATGAAAATGTCTTTGTTTGAATAATACATTCAGTTCACAGATCTTAAAGTGTAAATTGTCAGATAATTTTAGTTGCCTTTACTGCAATCAGAGTTTTAATCCCCATGAACCTGAGCTGCAGCTAAAAAAACAAACAAACAAACAAAAAAACCACCACTTTATCCTGAGTCTCTTGGTACCACAGACATCTGGAGTTCCTGTCCTACTAATATATATTTTGCATTACTGCATCAGATCAAGGAATCCTGAACTCTAGTACTTTTCAAAAGTATATTGTTTTCAAAACTGTTTTTGTTGTTGTTGTTGTTTGTTTTTTTTTTAATTATCTTCCATTCCCATTAGCAGTTTATACAGGGGATTTTCTCTCTGTACTTCAGGAATCTACTGCCTGATATCCTAGGTAGAAAACTTCACTCTGTCTCTAACCAGATACAGGCATTACATAAAGTACTTCAGACAACATTGCTTAGAAGATTGTTTCCTCACTGAGCTATTTTGTAACAATTGTGAGGTCTCTCTTGTGTATATCAACTAGGGTGGAGGCAGGCACAAACTCCTTTGTCCTGAATAGACAAAGACTTCATTGTTTCCAGTAAAAGCAAGAGAAGGGTTCTCAAACTTTGACATAGTGACCCTCCCTAAGCTAAGGAAAAAATACACCTCTACCCTGATATAACACGAATTTGGATATAACGCAGGAAAGCAGCACTTCGGGGGGACAGGGCTGCGCGCTCTGGCGGATCAAAGCAAGTTCGATATAACGTGGTTTCACCTATAACGTGGTAAGATTTTTTTTTTTTTTTTTTTGGCTCCCGAGGACAGCGTTATAATGAGGTAGAGGTGTAGTTGTGTCTTCCCCTAGGTTAAGAGAACACAAACAACTGAAAATCCTATACATTGCAAGAATACAAGTGGTAAAGTAGAAGGGCTGTGATTGAGCTGAAAAGTCTGGACAGGAGGGAGGCACATTCTCGTGGGTCCCTGCCCTTCAGCTCTACACTTAATTCACCTTTGTCTCCCCTTCTCTTGTGTGAGAAAATGAAAGGTGCAGGCAGCTGCTGCTCCACCTGCCCACATGGGCCACACCATTCAGGCTTTTCACAGGCAGGGAGCAGCCTCTGTTGGGGGCAGCTGGAACCGTAGTCCAGTCCTAGCAGCTGAGGCTACCAGTTGGCATCTAGCAACAGCTGTAGCTCAGCCAGAAAAGCTGAGCTGGCGGGGACAGCAGCAGCAGCAGCCTCCCCCACCCCCAAAAAAAGTATAAATGTTACCTCGCCAGGGAGGCATGCCTATAGCGGTACAGGTTCAATGGAATTAAATTTTATTAGAGAATATTTAGAAAAAATAAACGATACAGAAAATTTGAAGCGTTAGTTATTGGTCATTGGGGGTAACATACAGAGTATAGGGGTATGTTGGTGTTTTGGGGCTGGGCAGCACACATAGTATATACAGACTGCAATATCCCCAATGAGGGGTGGGTAACCGGTGGGCGGGATCAGGAGACAGTCGATAAGTGGTGAGGGTCTATCACCCATATGGGAGGTAGAGACAGTCATGGGTATAAGTAAGCTTACAAGTCCTGATACTCCTCAGGTAACCTACTGGCTAGACTGTGAAAGTAAAGATAAAATATTGGTGTGTCAGGATGAAGTAAGAGAATAAACAGGTCTTCTGATTTTGGAGAAATATGCCAAATTTAGTAATAACCATAGTTATTTATGTTAAACATATATTTTTAACTGAGAACTGGAAATTTAAAAATCATGTTTTGGTCACAAAGGAAAATGAGTTGGATTGTTTCATAGGTGTTTGTGCATTCTCCCAAATTGCCACAGCATATGACTCAATTGTCACTTGTTTCTTTTTAGACACAGTACAGGAGGAGTAACATTGTTACATGTCAGGATTGTGCTATATTAACTAATTGAGGAAGCTTGCACTTGGGTACATTAATCCTGGGTTTTAAGTCAGCGTTTTAGACTTTCATTAGAAATAAACTTCTCAGACAGAACTAAAGGCCTTGCAGATTTTCTTCTTTCTTACGTTTGTAATGAATTTTGTCCTCTTGGCTACTGTGATGCTTTTATATGTCTTGAATTTAAAAAAAAAATGTAACTGTGACTACAAGTTGAGGCCCTGTAAGACTTTAAACAAACGTTAAGTTTTGTAGAAGGAAAAATACCATTTTTAAAACTTTTAAAATCCAGTTACTTAAATTTAGATCAAAATATTTTCATTACGATACTTAACTTTCAAGTTCAGAACTGTGTGAATTGATTTTGCGTGATAGAATTGCTAGAATTATATTGAAAATACGCACTTTGTTACCCAAACTCAGTTGGTAACTGAAATTAGATGTATAGTTAAGTAGGAAAAATGTTTCATTTTAAACTATTCACTGTAACTTTCTTGATTGGTTAGGCACTAGATGATGATTGTGCAGCAACAGGAAAACAAAATCAGTGGCACAGTAGACCAATTTCAGAGTGGACAACCCAACAGGTATGCCATTGGTTGATGGGGATGAACATGGAGCAATATATTGCAGAGTTTACCGCCAAGAATATAGATGGACAGCAATTAATGCTGCTTGACAGTGATAAGCTAAAGGTAAGTACATGCCCCTGTGTGTATTTGTAATTTATAAATGTTAGAAGTTTATGATTGCCAGTTCATATATACTTCTTTTAAATATAGATACTTATCCTTTTCCTATTCAGGCATTGTTGTTGTGTATTTTGTTTTTTTTAAAGAGTCCCAGTTACTGCTGTGTTCTTGGCATGGTAGAATAGAGGATCTGTCAGTGAATGACATCAAATTAAAGGTGAAGTGTATCAAAATAATATGAAAAGGATGTGATAAACAGAATGAAAGCACAAATTAAACAGTTCTTCCTCTGTGACAATATGTTAAAACTCAAAGCAACTAAAGCCCCAAAGGCGGGATTTGTATGTTTATCTCAAAGGTGGTAGCAAAATAGGTCCCAACTAGCTCATATATATAGCACAGTAGGCTTCAGTTCAGAAATCTGACTTTCATCGAGATCCATGCCCCTCAGATAAAAATTCAGTCCCCTTTCCTTAAGATCTTACTACTTTCTGATTTGGCCATTATTGAAGAGCCTACTTTTATTATTATTAATTTTTTTTAATGTAGAAGCCTTTCCTTGCATGTTTTCTTGATACATAGCTGGGTTTTTACAAAACCCAAGAGAGACAACCAGCTGCAGCCTTGAGGTGGTCATTTTGCCTCTGATAATTGCATGCTCCATGTCCATTCCAGCTCTTCTTTGTTCATTCATATTAGACTACTTTTCGATTGGCAAGGTGTTATTCTAAAAGGAGGTTTTCTCTGACAGAGTTCAGTAAAGTCTGAAATCAAAATCTAGTGACTAATAGCGGGATTAGAATATCTTTTTATGAAGAAAAAATGTAGTTTTATGAACCTTTAACTGCCATTTAAATACATCTGTCTCTTGGAATGGATTTGCAACTCTAAATTTCCTATAACTTAACATAGAAATGTTTCCTTGGACAACAGGGAAAACAATATTCAGTATCTTAACAGATAACTACGGGAAGTGTGGCATGTGGGTGCTTCAAACAGTCACAGTATTGCACTGGAGTTCTCCAGATATAAAATAACACTGCTGTTTGGGAACTGAAATCAGATGTTGCCATCTGCTGATCAAAAATTGAAATGCACTCTACTCACAAATGTTACTGTCCAACTTAATACAAAAGTGTCATTAGGGAAGATGAAATATATACATACTTGCAAGTTAAAATTATGGAAGATGTTTTCAATTTTACTACACCCACTTTTTAAAATATTAGTTTTAGTTGCCTAAAAAGTACCTTGTTAAGGTCCAGTTTTACTCAAAATTTAAGTTATAAACATGCTTTTGCAAACACAAGACTAATAGAAATGCTTCCATGAATTTATTTAGAAGTCCAATGGAACTTTTTTTAAAGGGACTGTAGTACCTGTTTACACTGAATGCTGTGCTAAAGCATAAGAACCTGGAAGTGAAATTAAAAATAAACAGTCTATAAAGAAGTGAACTGTCTATTTTATTTTCACTGTCCTACCTGAGAGAAATGCAAAAAGTAAACAAGCAAAGTAGTGTTTAAAGAAAGATAATTACTTCGTAGATTCCATTATAATGATCTATTATGGTTTAAGTAACAGTCAAAGAAACCTATTTTTTAAAAAAACTATTAAGCTGACAGGATTCCTTTTTATATTAGCCTAATATTGGATTAATACATCGCATGAACGAACAATCAACCCTTGTTCAAAAGTCTGATTGTATTGCTAATATACCTTATATATGACACCTCAGCAAGTGGTTTTTCAAAATTACTTTGAAAAATGTGTGTGGTGATTTAGGGCCTGATCCAATACTCACTGAAATCAATTGGAGTCTGGCTATTGACTTCACTGAGTACTAGTTTCAGCCCTTTATTTTGATTTCATCCTTTTGATTTATAAAGTTATCTTCTATTAAAAGACATTACCCTGTGTTCTTGCAATGCTTACAATAACTGAAATAGACAATCCCATGTTAATATTCAGTATAACAAGTAGAGTCCCTTTCCATCACAAACAAATGGCTCCTAATAAGTAAATAATATTCCCTTCCTAAATGTCTGGGCAGAAAGCTGGCCCTTACAATATTACCTGGAGGTTAACCGATCCAAGGTGATGACAGACGCATGGGAAAAATGTGGCACCGAGGTGAGAGGCAATCTCAGATAATCAGTTCCCAATTACATTAAAGCTTTAAAGCAGTGGTCCCCAAACTTTTGAGGGTTGTGTCCCCCCGTCCCCCCCCAATCCCTCTCCGCACCACCACCATCCCCCGGAGCTGGGAGCGGGGCCTCAGCTCTGGGGAGGAAGCACCAGCCGGCCCCTCCCTGCCCCCAGCTCTGCTCCGGTCCCGCCCCCAGTCGCATTCCAGTCCCCGCGCCTGCTCCCATCCCCAACCTCATCACAGCTCTGTTCCCAGCCTGGGGCCAATGCTGGGGGGCGGGGCGGTGCCAGGAGTGGAATATCACCTGGCCGCGGGCCTGGCTACTGGTCCCCACCACAGCCTGGCCACTGCGATGGCTTCGGCCCCCTTACATGTGGCAGTGTTCTCTCCCTCCCCGCCCCCCGTGAGACTGGTAGACCTTGCAATCATTTCAGTAGAGTGGAGAAAAAAGAGACGGCAAGGGTTGAAATAAAGCACTGATGGAGAGGGATTAACTACATCAGTGTTAGACTGCATATTTGAAAAGTTGAGGTGATTGGGAGGAGAGAGATGGTGAAACAATTGGAGAGACAGTGTTGTGGGATGTGTGTTGTGGTTTTTTTGAGGATAGAAGAGACCAGGGTGGGCTTGCATTGTGAGAGGAAGGAATCAGGGGACAACGAGAAGCTAGAAAAAGGGTTAGGAAGGGAATGAGAATGGAATAATGCAGTAGAAGAGGTTGGAATGGGCTCATTGTGGCAGGTGAAGGTATTGTGGGAGACTAGGGTCAGTGCTGGCAGAGGAGGAGGTAGGAAGGAGCTCACAAATGTTAATTCAAATTGAATTCAAATCTGAAGTAATGTCTCAGTGTTGTCTTTTCAACTTCATTTGTGATAATGTCTCCATGGGCAAATAAAACCTGAATTTCCAATGTAAAATCACCCTGCAGTCCCTTTTTAAAAAAGAATATTGGGTGTTCGGAATCTTTTGAGCCTGCCCCTTTTTGCTTCTATATGAAGTGATTTAAAAAAAAATAAATTTCAAGTTGGATTTTGGCATTTTAAAGGTATTACTGGGGGGGAGAGGGATTTTTTTCACCCATTAGCTTAAGCAGCTTTGTTTCATACAATTCTTGGCGGTTCAATTAACTGAATGTGACACTGTTAAGACAGTTGTTAGAGTCCTGCAAGTTGTTTTCATAGGTAGAAGTTTTCTCAAGCTATTAAATATGGCAAATGATTGATCTGAGTTCAGCAACATTGGCTACGTCTATACTTACCTCCGGGTCCGGCGGTAAGCAATCGATCTTCTGGGATCGATCCCGTAAGTGCTCGCCGTTGAACCCGGTACTCCTGCTCCGCGAGAGGAGTACATGGAGTCGACGGGAGAGCCTGCCTGCCGCGTGTGGACCCGCGGTAAGTTCGAACTAAGATACTTCGACTTCAGCTAAGTTATTCACATAGCTGAATTTGCGTATCTTAGTTCGAAGTGGGGGGTTAGTGTGGACCAGCCCTTTCTCTATAAAGGAAGTAGGAATACAGTAACAGCAGTTAGTGTATGTAAAGTGCAGCTGCATCAAGGGAGCCAGCAGAAGATTAATTTAAAACAGTTTAATTTGATTGTTATATCACTCATTAGAAAGTCTCTGATGCTCCACTTTAAGTGCCACGTGAAACTTACTATTCACAACAATACAAAACCTAGGCTACTCACCTCCTCCACCCCATTTATCAGCAAGGTGGCCATCTCACATTAGTTAAATTGTAAATGATCTTCTATCGATTTACTCCCTTTATCTCAGATGTAAAGAGCTGTACAATTTCTTGCAGCTTCTGTAATACTTTCTTGAAACCAGAGTAACTAAACACAATTTCTCTTAAAGGCTCTGGGGGTTTCCAGCCAAAATGACCGATCCACAATAAAGAAGAAAATTAAGGATATTAAAAAAACACAAGAAAAACTGGAAAAACAGAAAGAAAAAGGTCAAAAGAAGGAAAGAGAAGTTCGCAAGACTGGCAGAGTGGTAGCTGCTGTAGAATCAAGCTGTTAAAATGATTTAGTTTTATTTTAGCACAGACTTACTTCAACTTGAAGAAGTGCAACAAAATTGTATATAATTGTACAATTGGGGAGGTAAAGTGCAACAGTTTAACATGGTAGGTTATTTACTTTAATTTCTGTATTCCCTCCCCATTACATGTTCCATTAAAATGAAATAATGTTTTCAGTATTTTTATATCTAGTTGACTCTGCCTGTACTAATAGACCATTTAACTTTCTGCCTTAAATACTGTGCGTGCTTTTATGACTGATATGTAAAAACACCATATCCCTGAAATATCCATTGAAACTTATATGTTTGTGGAAAGTGGGATGTGACGTTGGGGGGGGAGGGGGAAGGTATTCATTCAAATATTAGTCAACTCTTACAGTTGACTTAAACTATAAATATTGGGTTTAATCTGATATATATGGACAATAGAAAATCCTGCCATCAAGTTCAGTGTGACACTGTTTATCTGTTGCCACTAATGTTGTATAGTGAAAAAATTAAGTTTAAGAAAACAGCAATGTCAAATTTATTTAAAAAACAAAGCCTGTATTTCAAATTTATTGAATTGTTTTCTTTAAAATCTTGTTTTCCCAGTGGTCCATTTTTAATTCAAAATTTACTGTAGTAATGCTGATTTTTGAATTTCATTTGTTGCAATTTACTGAAAATAGTATGTAAGTAGTTTTCACAGACTACTTACGCCAAGCATAACACTAAATTCTCTCTGTAGCTACACTATGGGATGTTGGAACAGGGTGTAAACATAAATAAAAGATCATTTTTTACATATTTTTCCTAAATAATATAGTTTTATAGTTTTATGCTATGAATAAGATCCATTTGCAATGAGTATTTCTCTTTTTTCTACTCACTAGAAGATTTTTGGGGACCAAATTTATATATTTGCTAATTTTAAACAATACTGTTTTTCCATACTTAAAATACAGAGATGAGAATTGTAGAAAAAATTTAATCAATGAAGCACTGGGTTTCTGCATTGTATTTAATTGTTAAATTGTAGACTATTATAGACTTTCTTTTTAAAGGAGGATTTGATTCTTGGAATAGTTTAGAACATGATTTGATGTGTGTTCTTGTGTAATAGCTTGTAGAAATATTACAGAAGCACTTCCTTAGATTTTTTTTTTCCCCCAGAAAAATAATGGAATAAAAATGTTAATTCCATCCTGGAGTGGAATAGAAAATTACAAGATCTTGGAATTCTGAATTGCTAGTTTAAATATTGCAATGATGTGGACCAAGTTCTCCTTTAAATATATGAATTAATGTTTTTCATTTTTAATTAAATGATCCTTTCACTTCTGACATTTCTTAAGTGTTTAAAATATGGAAGATTTCTCTGGAATTCAGAAGAGGAAAAGGACTTTGTGGAAATGCACATTCACTCTACTAATTTTCAAATAAAATTTAAAGTTCATATTTCTATTAAATGTCTTCTCTATTTTTAGTTCTGTGTTTTAATTAAGAAAAGAAGCTTATTGTTTTGCTTATTTTTAATTCTTAGGAAATTAGTGAGTTTAAGGTAGATGATTCCTGGCATCTAATCAATTTCCAGAGGTTGAGTGGCCAGAGGAGTTCTTGTTGCTTGCAAAGGAGGAGAATTTTTGTCTGCTGGGACAGGTTGGTCAGAATTCTAGAGTGGTGCAAGACCTGTAATGCCAGGTAATGTTTCCCCTCTCATCCCTGGGTCCCCTCCCCCTCGGTGTATGTGAGGAACGAGTGAAGGGCTAATCGATGGAATGGAGGTTATTGATGTAGTGTCCTAGGGTTTTTCCTTCTTCCAGCTCCACAGTATCTGAAGGTTGGGGCCATTGAGCTGAGTGCTGTATTTATGAGGATATCTGAATAGTAGTTTCACAAGCCTGTCTCTGCAGTGCTGTGACAGTTGAACAGGTGCAGATAAGGTGACTGGTTGTGCTGCATGAGTTACTCTTTGAAAGAGAACCTCCCTCCCTGGCACTTGAGGCCTGAAAGGGTTGGATGACTCCTTAGAACTTTTTCAGTCTCCAGTCACCCAAAGAATAAGTCAACTGAAAGTTTGATTTTTATAAATTGCATTAATGGACACATTTATTGCTTCAATATGATTAAAAAAATCACATTGCAGTTTAATTTTATCACACACAAACCAAAAATTCTAAATATAGGGTTGAATTCCAGTGTTTCAAGAGAGTATAACTATCCATTTCACTACATCTGCAACGAGTTCATTTTCTTTTGATACTTAACAGCCAAGTAGCAGTGATTATTTTTCAGTACACTAATGAAGATGTGTATACATAAAATCAGTATTTTGAACCAGCTTCTGTAGTGAAGTAAATGAAACATAGCAAGTCAACTCTAATGACTAGGAGTAAATACTGCACACTCTGAAATTTACTAAACACTTAATTTCCACCACAGCCAGCGGAGGAGGAAAAAACTATTGAAATATCTACATTGGAATACTTTGCTATGGGCCCAGAACTTTTGTTCTGATACATTTTGATTGTTAAGCCATAGGTAGCAAAGATACAAGCAAAGGTTTCTACTTCAGTAATTCCACATGAAAACTCCTGTATTTTCATTTTCATTGCAAGCAATCTGTTAGTAATGTCTAAGAACAAATATGGAAAATCATTCTAAAATCAGTTCAATTGAATTAAGTGGAAATATGATTAAATATTTCAAAATTTTATTAACATGTTAGATCTTTTCAGAACAATGTGTTAATATACATTTCAAAACTTTTTATTTTAAAAACCCATGCTATTACTTTTAGCATTAGGCTGTCAAGAGTGACGGTTGCAAATGTTTAGCAAACACTTCCCTCCTTTTATATAAATTTTGACCCCATTCTAAAAACCGTTTCCTGCCTGGATTTGGGCATTAATTTGAGCAGGAAATAGTCTTACATTGTATTGCCTTTTAGGCACTTGTATACAATGGTGATGTGCCACACAAACAAAATTTACTTCACAACATCCCTATCTATCCTCAATTTACAGATGAGGAATTCACTTGAAGTCATCCCTCACAAAATTAGGACTATAGCATACTTACCGTTCCAGTTTCTTTCCTTATCTATTCAATAACAAGAAATCATAGGGTTGTGATCAAGCAGACCTGTGTTAGTCTCACCATACTCTGCTCTATTTTGACCTGGTAGACTGCTGAAACATAATGTGTGCTTTATGGCACATGCACATCTCTCACCCTCATCTATAGAGCAGTTAAGGATCGGTCATCTGAGTTAGGTGCTGGGACTGCAAGTGCTTCTCCACAGCATTCTAAGTTTTTGGGGATGAGAGAATTCAGTGGGATGTACACGCATGACGTGGAGGTATTATATGGGCTTAAATGGCTGGTGTGGTCAGCAGAAAAGTTGAAGCTATCAACACAGTTGTATCCCTCACTAGAGAGAGCTGATGTACCTAAAATATTATAGGAAAAAAGAGCATAGCAAAATGAAGTTGATTTTTGACATTAATTGCACTCTTTAAATACACCTGGATAACTGGTAGGTCCTGTTGTCCTACTATTACACTGATCTGCCCAGTAAAGATGCAGATTTTGCAATAGAGTTTCTCCATATTAACAGTAGTTACTGTTGTCACCTCATCTATGATCCCAGAGTTTGAGGCTTTACCACAAACGTATTTGGACATTACCTGCAGAAAGAGAGGAAGACCTGCAAATCTTTACTGTAAACCCTCAGAAGCTGCTATTTCACAGTAAGTAAGTATGCCAACTTCTGTTTCTCATGAATTTTCAATACATTTCTCAGAAGACCCGTAACTGGTATTGTATACATGAAATGCATTATACCAGAGGCAGCAGTTAAGATTGGATTTTCAAAGAGAGAGAGCTGATAAATACTATAGGCAAATACAACTTGAGAATCGTTTAGTTTACAGCTGTTGCCTTGCCCCTCTGAATAATCTACTACTAGTAGTATGTACAGATTCATTGATTTCAGAACAAAGTAAAACAACACATGATTGCCTATTGGAGCTTCTGTACTTAAATTCAAATATTTGTTTCTAATTTTGCTAAATTTATTTAGGTTTGTAAAGTGCTTTTGAGCTCCTCGGCTAGAAGATGGTGGAGAAATGTGAAAGGTTGCATAATGGGTTTTATAAATCTATTAATGCTTTAAATAACTACTTTAAAGTTTCATACATCAATGTTTAGATCATTTGATAACTTCACCCAATGCTCAATGCAAAGAATTGGTATTAGCAGTTCTGGCGAGCTGCTATTTCAATAATGCTTCCATTAGGAGAGTTTAAGTTGTGTGAACTGTGCTCTTCAAGCCAGCTGTGAAATAAGTTACCCTAGACCCTGTATAAAATTTAAAATTACTGCTCCCTAGATCTAGCTACAGAAGTAAACTGGAAATACAAAGTGGAACAAATTACGAGTGTACTTTTTAAACTACATACTTTGGTTTTAATTCAGTTAATTCCTTAAAGTAGTATTGGAAAACAGTTATGGACTTCAACTTCCTATTCTTCCCTACTAAAAACATTTCCACATGAAGTATTTGAACCATGTTTGGTATAAACCTGCTAAATAATCCCTTTGCAAACAGACGACAAAAACATGTTTACTTTTTCTGGACTGTTGTACAATTATATACTGCGGAATGTAGTCATGTCCTTTGGCTCACTGCTTGGCACACACCAGTCATCTGCTTCGTGGTTTTCCACATAACGTTTCCAAGCTGATTTGTTATACACAGGGAGCCTTTCGATTGATTCTGTTGATAAAGCCTGTAAAGAGAGCAGAAGCTATAGTGGAGTCTATTTTGCTGAGCATTTATTAAACTTTTTTTATTAAAATTACAAGTTACATTAAGACTGATACCAAAAAGTGGTAAATTATACCTTTATGTAGATAACTGCATCTGTACCATACCCCTCTAATGAATACAGTTTCAGATCTCCTTGGAAGTACTGTGCGTACAGACGTGATATAGGCAAACCATAACCAAATCCAGCCTGATAAAAGGGAAGAGGGTGGGGGGCAGAGAGATAAAAGCACACTTGAGTTAACTGCATCATCTGCAGAAGATTTGTCAGCATAGCAGACCAATATCTGTACCACTTAAATTTAGAGGCAATCCAGCTAGGGTCAGCATATTGCTGGACACATGTTAGCATTTGAGAAAAGTAATCACTTATATAGGACCAGAGAGGTGGTGAGGAATCCAAATCTTAAGTATTACCCCTCCTCCCTACCCCAATGTTACCAAGTTTCCCTCCTTTCCTACCCATTTACCCCAAAACCACCTTAACTCTTTGTTGGGAGGGGAGGGGACTGCAAGGAGTAAACCCTCCCTGTGCGGGCTGCTATACAACACCGTTGGTGCTATTACTTGCAGCTATCCCACGGCAAGAGCACTAGTGGAAGTACTCTGCCTTGCTACGGAACATTGGATGACTATCTCTATCCCCATGGAGCCACTAGTCTGGCTGTTGCTGATCGTGAGAAGACAGATGTTAGGATTGCAAATGAGAGGGCAGGTGGCCCAAGAGGCAACCTCCTTAAATTTGCTTGTGGCCTACACTATGAAAGTCTGACAAACCCCTGTCCCAAATCATTAACAATTAAACACTAAGCAAAAGTTAGAAATATTATGATGCCTTTCACTTAATCACTAGTTTAATTTGTGCAATAGCTCTAGAACCAAATAATTTGAATTAAAGGTACTTTCACTGTTTATTTTGATGGGTTTAGACTAGTGGGAATTATCCAATCACTGGATATAGAAAATTAATAAAATAGGCCAATAGTTTGAATGTCATAGGGAAAAAAAGGAGTCCAAGGCAGAGTAATGTGATGGTAACATCAATTGGAAGTTATTGACAGTGGGTCCAATTTTAGTATATGTGCATTTCTTACATATCTTAAAACAGTGCTCCCCAACTTTTTCCGTGGAGTGGGCACCGGACGACTAGCCGCTGAGGACCGTGGCCACCGGACAAGCAGCCGCCGTGAAGCAGCGTCATCGGCGGCATTTTGGCGGTAGCGCTTCTTGATGTTGCTGCTTCTTGGCGGCATTTCAGCGGTCAGTAGGTGGGCGCACGTGGATGCCCCGGCGGGCGCCATGGCACCCACGGGCACCGCGTTGGGGACCCCTGTCTTAAAACATCTATTGAAGCCACTAGGAGTTTGCAAGGACCACGGGAATAAGCTCTTTATCAGTATAACCATATGCTATATACTTTTGTTTTTGTCAAGATTATACAACTGAACAGCTATTTCACTCAAAACGATAAATATGGACTTGATCCAAAAGAAGGGGCAATTTTAAAACCAGAAGTTCCTAAAATCCTAAATTAATTTCTATCCCTAAATTAATTTCCTTTTCTAGTCTGCTTCCAGAACCAAAGTTCAAAGTCCTGTACTCGCCCAGAAACAGATTACTGGAACTCCTACAACAGTTCGAGGAATGTCGCTCCTTGTTCTCTCCTCCTTCAGAGCTTGAAGAAACAGAATTTCAAACTTAAATTTTGGTAAATATTAAAAATAGTGTTTTTCTTACTTACCATTAAGGCTACAAATTCTGTTTAATGTTGTAAGTCTACAATTTTTTTTTCCCTTTCAGAAAGGCACTTTTAACTTTTTACACCAGAATTGCTAGACTATTCACTTATCTGCAAAACACGTAGTAGTACAAAGATACAGGTAATTTTTGCCTTCCCAACTATCAGAGGACAAAGTAAAAAAGGCTTACAGACCAGAGGTGTTGCTCGTGATGTCTCAACACGGGGACGTGGTGCAGTTGAATACATATAGTTGAACAGTCCGTCAATTTTCCTCATCGGAACACCGCCACCACGATCGCTTATCTACAAAATGAATGAACACGCTATTAACTTTAGGTTCCTGTATATAAAAGAACAGCAACACAAGCTGATTTTCTTAAAGAATAAAGTATAAAGGAAGACTGAAGACTATACAGTCTCAAGTTGTCCTTATTAAATCATCGGATCAGACTTACTGTATATACTCGTTCATAAGCCGAATTTTTTTAGTAAAAAAGGGAAGCATCAGAGAAGGGGGTTGGCTTATGAACGGGTAAAGAGAGGGAGAGGTAGGACACAGCCCCTCCCCCTAACAGAGGGAGCAAGGAGAGTTGCAGCACAACCAGAAGGGAAGAGGTGGGGCCAGAGTCTCTCCGTTTCTGGCCACGCTGCTCTCCCCACAGCCTCTGAAGCAGCTGCAGCTCCGGGGCTGGCAGGCTGTGGCCGCGTCGCTCGGCCCCGCCCCCCAGAGCAGGCTGTGGCCGCGCCACCCGGCCCAGCCCGCTGGAATATGCTGCGGCTGTGCTGCCCCGCCTGCCAGAGCAGCTCCAGCCAGGCCAGAGACATCCTCCCCAGATATGGTGGGAAGGGATGGGATGGGGAGAGTGTGAGGGTCCCAGGCTAGGGATGGGATCATGTGGAGGGGTGGTCACAGGTTACTCCTCTGACCCCCCAGCTTCTCCCCCCCAAAAAATTTCCCCACCAGTTGCTGTCCCGGCCTATCGTAAGCAGCTGGCACACCAGTACACTTCGTTTACTTAGGTTTATCTCCGTGCCTGTGAACGCTCGAGGTAAACAAACAAACCATCTCGGCCTGCCAGCTGCTTATCCTCATGGCCCTGGAGCCAAAGTTTGCTGATCCCTGAATTATAGGGTCGGCTTATGAACGGGTCATAAAAAAAATTCCATTTTTACTTATCCATCTTGAGGGGGGTTGGCTTATAAACGAACCGGCTTATGATCGAGTATATATGGTAATAAAGAAAATCATCTGATAAATCTCAGCAATATATACACACAAAACCCCAGCTGAGGTTAATGACATTTCCCAAAATGCTGTCACCAAAAACGTCCACAATTACACAGAATTACTTAGACTATGTCTACACAGCCTGCAGTAATGGGCCTCTCAACCCAGGCTGACAGGCTCAGGCTTATGCTACTGCACTATAAATAGCCGTGTAGGTGGTAATTTGAAGTTACGGCTTAGGTTGGTGCTCAGGCTCTGAAGCCCACTCTTCTCTCTAGGCTTCAGAGTATAAACTGTCTACACTGATAATTTTAGCGCAGCAGCACAAGACGGAATTTTGACATGGGTTAGGAGGCTCACTGCTGCGGACTGCGTAGATATACCCTTAGAAGCCACTTACATGTTGTGCACTGCTTTTTTTCTTCCTCACCCTCCTTCCAATTTCTATCTTCATGTGGAGGAAGTTAGGTTCAGTAAAAGTCAACAATGGCCATATCAACTGAATACTATGGGTGCAAAGTTCTCACTGCTTTAGCCAGCACTTTAGGAACAAAGATGCTCCATAGCAGCGCAATATATTAGTACTCATTTACTACTAGAGCAAATCTGAAGATTTGTTTCTACTTGCGTGAAGTTAAATTCTAAGGAAAACCTATATACTGCAACCAACCTTGGAAGTCCAAACACTAACCATATAAGAGATGCTGCCCTTAAAAGAAATATCTGCAAGGCAAGGCCTAACATAGGCAGGCTTCACCTGTGCTGGACTTACTTTATTCCACACCTGTTCTGCACCTCACTCAAGTAGTCACTTCTACCTATAGGACACCTGGCTCTGAACAAACTACAAATCTGGCTATCTTCCATTCCTAAACTTGCACTTTACCCTTGAACAGAAACATGGTTTATTTACATTATAGCTACATAAAGAATAAATATGTTGAAAGGGTAAAGTGATGCCACAATCTCCCATTCACATGAGACTTGTGAGATCTTTATGATGTTTCCACTCATCACTGACCCAAGGCCTGAAATCCTACAAAGGTTTTATTCCTTACACAGTACATTATCAGCATTGGTACAAACTCCCAGTGTCACATCACCCATTCATAATAAAATATTCCCCCAGGTTCCGAACTATTTTCCATCAAAGTAAACATCAAACAAAGCAGTTACCTTCACAGTTAAATCCTCATTGCCTAATGTGACATGTACTTGAATTGGAGGGTAAACGCTTCGATCAGTATAGTGTTCCATTGTGGCTCTCATTGCATTCTGAGAAATATTTAAAATTAAAGTAAAATAAGTAGTTTTAATCAAATCATAGATTTGATTGTAACTTTTGTGCTGTTAATATGTCAACTTAGGAAAACAGTTTTATGTGTGCCCATTTAGAGATTGTATTTCCATTTTTACTACTTTGTACTTGTATAAAGATATAATAAAAACATATTTCTTCTTCAAAAACATTTCCTGCTTGCTTTTTACCACAGAAATATCAGGAATATCAAGTCTGCTCTTCCCTGGCTTTGCTACAGTCTTACTGGGGGAGACTTAGAGATGTATATCATGAGCTAGCCTTATTTTAATGAGAGAGGAGCTGAATTCTTACAGAAACATCCTCTCTCCAAGGATTAATTAAGCCACTGGAGTTAAATACCAGCAACTGTTAATAAAAAAAAAGTTTTACACAGACTCTCTCTCAATTATTACCTATCAGTGTTGTGTGATATCATAAATTCACTGGTTTTCCAACCAGAATCAAATTGAAAAAAAATTATTAGTCTACTACAGGCATATGAAAAAGCGTAGCTTTAGTTCTGAATTGTTTCACTAGTGTGATTAAATTAGAGCATGAATAGGTTCTGTATGTTAGAAAAGTATCTGAAGAGATGTGGCTTGATGTAGAAGTCTTAGTATTCCTGTATGAATGATTAAGATAAAGGACACATTTTCAAAGCCTCTGATTTTACACACCAGTCATCTGTGTACAAATGATGAGATTTAGACATCTACCTACCTGATCTGTGGGTGCAGTCAGGAACTTAGATGTCTGAGTCTTGCAATTGCAGGTACAAATTTGCACGTTATTTAAAAATTGGTTCAACATGTCAAATAAATACACAACTCAGAACACAAACATGCCATGCAGATTGTGTAATCCGACTGTACAAACCTTGAAAAGTTCAAAAACCATGTGATAGAGATGGGATGGTACATATACTACTTGCATGGGTTGTCCTGATGATTTTGCTGGAAAAGAAAGTAACCCAATCAATTAGACAACATACTGGAAGCCCGCTGTTAGTTTTGGCAATATCCAAGTAGTTCAAATAACAAATAGAATCTGGTTTTGTTTTGGTTGTTTTCACTGATAAAACACAGTACAGGGAAATGAAAAGAAAATTTGAATAGAAATCATGAAAACATTTGTTACTCTCATGTTTGTCAAAACTCATTCAAAATCTATGTTCTTGCATAGTTTTGAAAGTTTGTTTTAATTTATTTGTAGAAATTAATTTTAAAAGCTATTTCTGCTAGCAATATCATTGCATTTGAGTACATAATATGTCTGAACAATAACTGCAGTACAATGTGTTCTTGGATTCATTTGTCTATCTAAAGATCTGCTGATGTATCCGGAAATCTTTGATAAATATTCTATTTGTAGATAGTTCTGCTCATCTTGGTTTCCAAATCTCTTTGGTCTCACTCTTTAAAACAAACAAAAATTACTAGGAATATTTTCATGAATAGATTTTTCTTCTATTTTGATCACTAATCCAGGACTAGTGCTTGGAAAAGTTTACTGGCCCTAAAAACATTTCCATCAGTTCACCAAGCTAATTACCTTTGTAATAGTCTTTCCCATGCTGTTTTAGCAGCCACTACAGTTAGAGATTAGTGCTGTATGCCATCTGGGATTTCAAATAATATGAAAAAATTATTTTTACCCTAGCAGGTCAAAAATATTGGATCTTAAAATACGCCAGACCTACCCTTGTAACTCACTCAAGCTAGCAGTGCTATTTTACCTTAAATTCAAATCTTAATATAGGGGGCCTCAGTTCTCAGCTTAGCCCATGCAAGTGGTGGGTGAAGAATGCACAGCTGGCCCTGGATCTGGGAAGGGCAAAGATGGCTTTGAACTACCTTTGTGTTTCCATGTTTGGGCACAGAGCCCATCCCTCAGTGTAAGATGCACTAGATGCTATGGCCCCACGGTACCTTTATAGTAGCTAGGCATTCCTGAGGTGCAGAGAATCCATGGCCATAACTTTACACCAGCCATAGGGTGAAGTTTAGAAGCTCTTCTCCACTAGAGGCTCTCCCTCCCCTGAGGCGATCCTCCTGTAGCTGGCTATGTCAGCTTTAGATCCAGGTTGCATTGCCAGAATGGCAAATAGCAGCCATAATGCACAGGAGAATCTGAGCTAGCAAGTATTGGACATAGAACATCAAATCTGTTCCTGAGGCTTATTCATCATCTGTGGGTATGTCTACACTACGGGATTAATCTGAATTTATATAATTCGAATTTGGGAAACAGATTGTATAAAGTCGAATGTATGCGGCCACACTAAGCACATTAATTCGGCGGTGTGCGTCCAAGTACCGGGTCTAGCGTCGATTTCTGGAGCGTTGCACTGTGGGTAGCTATCCCATAGCTATCCCATACTTCCCGCAGTCTCCCGCGCCCATTGGAATTCTGGGTTGAGATCCCAGTGCCTGATAGGACAAAAAACATTGTCGCAGGTGGTTCTGGGTACAGCCTCATCCCTCCCTCCCTCCCTCCCTGTATGAAAGCAACGGACGGCAGACAACCATTTCGCGCCTTTTTTCCTGGGTGAACACTGCAGACTCCATACCACAGCAAGCATGGAGCCCGCTCAGCTCAAGACAGCAGTCATGAACATTGTAAACACCTCACGCGTTCTCGTGGAGTTTATGCTGAGCCAGGACCAGAAAAACGAGGCGAGGAGGCAGCGGCGGTGGCAGCGCAGCGACAAGCGTGATGAGGACATGGACATGCACACGGACACGGACACAGAATTCTGTCAAACCGCGGGCCCCGGTGCTTTGGAGATCATGTTGTTAATGGGTTCTATCCATGGAACGCTGATTCTGGGCAAGGGAAACAAGCACAGACTGGTGGGACCGCATAGTGTTGCAGGTGTGGGACGATTCCCAGTGGCTGCGGAACTTTCGCATGCGTAAGGGCACTTTCATGGAACTTTGTGACTTGCTGTCCCCTGCCCTGAAACGCCAGAATACCAAGATGAGATCAGCCCTCACAGTTGAGAAGCGCGTGGCGATAGCCCTGTGGAAGCTTGCAACGCCAGACAGCTACCGGTCAGTCGGGAATCAATTGGAGTGGGCAAATCTTCTGTGGGGGCTGCTGTGATGCAAGTAGGCAAGCAATCACTCAGGTGCTGCTACGAACGTAGTGAATCTG